CGCCCTATAAAAAAAAAAAAAAAAAAAAAAAAAAAAAAACTCTCCAAAAAAAAAAAAAACATTTCAACTCTTACAGATATCTTTTTGTCTACAACTTTTTTATGAGTTCTAGAAAATTCTTACCTATTTTATCTTTGAATAGTCTCTGCCCCCCATTCTATTATTTTATTCTGGAACTCTAGTTAGACAAATGTTAGACCATCTTTCTTTATCTTTCATGTTTCTTAATATTTTATCTGACAACAATTTCTTGGCGGAGAGGGGCAGTTCTGTTTTCACTAGCAGATTCTGGAAGCAGCTACATGTCCAAATTGGGAAAGAACTTATCCTCACATCAAGGCTGGCCTGGGCTGTGCTCCTGGAAAACACTGTATGAAAGCACAACCGAGCAGACTTTGACAGAAAGGGATTTTGGCCGATGTACACGAGGACCAAATTGGAGCACAAGCATCCACAGCTAGTGCCAGGTCCTGGGCACCTCACAAGAAGGGCAAATTTTTGGAAGACTTAAGAGATATTCAATGGCAATTTCACCAGGACTGGTTACTGTCCATACATCGGCTAATAGAGTAGGCAGTGGGAACTGTGGCGATCCTAGCTGAGCGACCTTAATCAATCACTCCCTTAGCCTCGACTTCCTCATCCATGAGAGGGATAAGGAGATGGCTGCGAGTGAATGAAGTAATCAGGTAAAGTGTTAAGCAGTGATTGACAGCAATGACTAAAACATTATATATATGCGTTATGTATAATGTGCCTAAAAATAGTACTGGCATACATTAACTTCAATGTAGTTGTTATTATGGTTACCATCATGAATATAAGCTTATTCATTAATAACAAGAATTTGTGTTTTCATAAAAATAAAAAATGGCAAATACTTATGTCATGGGTTTATTTGAAAGAAATAATTTTTTTTTTTTAAGGGAGATTTTCTGCTATAGGGCACGTGCGCTTGCCAGGGAGACAGAAAATGAAAAATCACCACCCCACCCCTCGAAGATGACCACATGACCATGCCGCAATCCCTTCTTCTCCATTCCGCTCTCAGGATTTGGGGCACTCATGCACTCACATCCAGCATGAATTTTAAGCTGCTGGGTCTGAGACTCGAACCACAGTCAACTGCATGGGAATCCATGACATAACCATTACACCATCTGCTGGGCCCAGAAATAAATAAATTCTATAACAGGTTCTTAAACTCATAGTCTTGTCTCTATTTAGTATTCCTGTATTGAAAGAATGCTATGGGTTGGCTGATGGCATGGTGGATAGGGTGGCTGGATGCCACATGGCTGACTGCACTGTTCAAGTCCTTGACTCAGTGGCTTGAAAACCATGCTCGATACATGTGCATGCCTGCCCAAAATCTTGAGAGGAGATTGCAGATTGTGGCACGGCCATCCTCCCTGGGAAAGCATTCTCACTTCCAACCCACTCCTTGTCTCTCAAAATACTGAAAAGAATAAAAAATAAACCAACAAAAAGAATGCTACAACTGTCACTTAATATTTGAAGCAATATAAAATTGTGAAGCATTGTCCCCAGTCATTACCAAAACATTAAAGTACATTAACTATCAAGACACTTTGGTGGTTTGGACTGGTGGTTTTAGTGTTAGGAGCTTCTCATTGGAAGCATGGCCTTAGGTAAGCCAGTTAACCCATCTGGACCTCAGTTCCTCATTTCTGAGAAAGATAATGTGTGCCCTTCTCCTACCTCAAAGAGTTGTGTAGGTTTTAAATGACCATGTATATGAAAGTGTCCTTTTAAATGATAGGCTATTATACAATATTAACCATGATACCATCTTGTTTTCTGACTCCTGGAACATTAGCACACCCTAACAAACTGTAAGCAATACACTTTAAGCTGGACCCATGACCCCTTATCACCTCCCATCCTAACCCTTCATTCTTTGGCTGCAGCCCAGTGAATGGCTGATTTGGGGAAATGTGTGAACAGCACTCTCCCAGTCCTATCTGTTCCTCCTCTGCCAGTCACGAAAGTCATCCCCCAATCTTCAATACCATCCCGAGCCGTTTAAAAGCCACTCCATTCCTGGCACATAGTGGGTGTTTGATATTTACTGAATTAAAGGCCAATCTTAATGGAATTTTCACCTCTTTCAGTAAAATCCACTTACTTATTCTTCCATCTTAAAATATGACATATTTTTGAAAATTCCAACAAAAACTATTAGAGCCTGGAAAGCCAGCCTTCATGTGTTCAAATCTGGACTCCACTACTCTGTACTACTGTTACCTTGGCCAAGTCACGAAAATTTTGAAGTCTCAATTTCCCGTCTGTAGAGCGGCAGTCATAGTTACCTCCACAAAGACATGGGGCCTGGCATATAGTCAGTGCTCATGAATATGTTATTTATAAATCACAATAAATGTTAAAAAGAAACAAGCCAGGTGTCTTGAGCCACTGACAAAATGCCAAGTTCAGGTTCCATTTAGAAATGGTTGCGAAAACTTTGGAAGGGAGCAATAAAGATGAGCTGCAGTCAAAGAAAGGCTAGCGTAATGAGAAAGAATTGGAAACAAAAGTAAATTCTTTACAGTTTTTAGAACTGTCCTTGCTAAACATTTTAAAGCATTTCGAAAGCATCATGTGGTCCAGTTCATACTCCAGGATACCATTTGGTACTCTCGTTTTCAGTTTCATGTGAAAGAAGTTTCTTCCATAATCCACGCCACCAGTGTAACTGGGAAACTGTAAAGAAATGCATGCTCGTAAGCACAAACTGCAATGTTTTTCTCTGCCCAGTAGTGTATGAGTCATCCTGCGATAGGAGACAGAGACCCTAAAAATATAGTTAGAAACCCTAAAAACATAGTTAAGAACCCTAAAAATAGTGTTAGGATATAGGCCCAAAGCAGAATCACAAAATGGTTGTTTTAGGATAGAGGCAAAGCAGCTCAGGCTCGGGCTGGGGAGAGACCTCTAGTAGTGGTGGCTCAGAGACTGACCCAGGCAGCAGGACCAAGAACTACAACAATTTAACAGGCTCCACCACATTCTAGGAGGAAGATAAGATAGTGGTTGTTAAGGCCCAAAGCCTCTAGACAAAGAATCTCCTGACCTTCTACCCACTCCAAAATTAGGGGAAGAGTAAGGACCTCTCCCGTATGTGCCCCTCCACATCTCGACAAGCCTAAACAAGACCCCTCTCACCTAGATAAAAACCCTCTGCTGGTTCCTCCTCAGCAGCATAACCAAGAACTAAAAGGCTTTTTAACAGGCCCCACCACATTCTAGGGAGATAAGATTTTCCAGGACTCCTCTTCTTGGGGACTGTTTTTCCTGCCCTTTCCTTCAATGAGCTCCCTGCTTTAGTATACCTACTCTGTGTCTGCCTCTCTTAATTTTTTCAGAATACGGGACAAGAACCTGTGTCTCACCCTTGTGCCCCCAAGTTCCTGAGACAATACTTAATATAGAATCAAACTATTAGAGCCAAATGACATGAGTGTCATGTTTTCTTTAAAAAAAAAAAAATCTATGTTCTTCTAGGCTTGACTCTAGCTCTCAATAGAACCAAATTGTAACTGCTCAGGTTTCAAAAATACGAATAGGGTCAGCATTAGCATTTTTCTCTATTTTCACTTACCTTCTGAAACACTTCCTTAGTCTTTAGTATTACTTTTATTAAAGGAAGAAACAAAGTTTACGCAAGTTTAGAATTACTACATTAATCAGACTTACCTCCTCAGTTCAAGTATTACTTAAGCAAGTTGTGATTTCTGTCACTCATGTGCAGTAATCAGAATTTATTTTGCATTTATTCACTCACTGGATTATAACAATACTCTGAAGCCAGAGGCTTTCTCCTGGAGGAGCACTTGAGTGCTTCTGTATCTACCACATGTGAGGCATTCATTCAAGTGTGTGGACAATGACTCAGCTCAAAGCAGGGAGGGGGAACATCCTCCTCATTCTTTAAGAAAAGTCTCTTCTTTCTGCGTAGGGGAGAGAGACTGAAATGGCTGGGAACATGCCATCAAAGTTCTAAAGGCCTGGAGAGAGGTGCGAGTGGGTTGGTAAGCTACCACATAAAAAGAAACGCGTTTACTTGGAGGGACCTTAGGTGGCTGAGCTGAGGCCACTGATCTCCAGTTTTGCTCCAAGCCAGAAGCTCAACAGGTCAAGTTGGCTAGTTGTGTAAAAATCCATCACTAAAGCACTACTTTCCTCTTCTATTTGTCTCATTCTGAGCAGAACCCGGGAACCTGGTGTAGAGCTCAGGCTCCTGTCAGCCATGAAATTTTTAAAGGTGAAAAATGTTCTCATTTTCTGCCTTCCTTTCTCCCAGTAGTAAAAACTGTCAATGTGTCCTCTGCTAAGAGATACTGTGGTTATTAACCGATTTTCTTGGCAAACAGACAGTTTGCATGTCTTGGTATGTCGCATGGAAAGACACACGTACAGCACTTCTTAAACTTCGTTCTCACAGACTCCTCCATCCATTCCAAACCTGGTGAAAACGATGGGAAGAAAAGTCTGTGTACTGTCTCAGCTGATTGTGGGTGCCTAAAAATGATCATTAACTACACCTGCACACAAGTAGCATTTACACAACATTTACGGAAAGTACCTAACAGTTTACATATATTGTTGAAGGAAAAGAGTGTTCCGAAATTTAAGATTAAATTACTGAAGCTTACTACTGTATTACTTAAAAGCTTAGGTGAAACACAAAAACGGTGCCTCTCTGTCCATGCTTTCGGGCCAGCGACTGCACTTTCAAGACCGCGCGGCGGTGTCTTCTGTGTAGGGAGGTGCACAATCAAAACAGCCCGGACCGCGCGGGGCTAAGGGGCAGCGAGGCTGTCAAGTCTGTTCCATGGAACACCCCGGCTCCCGTTCCCCCCACGGCCCCTCGTTCGTCCTTGTCCTCTCTAATCCTTGCTCTCAGATGAATTTCTAGATCTTCCCCTCTTTTGTTCGTAAATACTTTGGAGTAAGGAAATCTACTCTACACCAGGGCCACTGTAAAACTGCTGCCTCCCTTAAAAATGCGTAGCGGGAAAGGGGTACGTTAAAGCGCGTTTGGACCTCCACAGAAGGTTCTAGAAGTTCTGCAGACCGGGGCGCCGCGGTCCTTAACCTCAAGTACTGTCTAGTACTTGTGTCTTCTCTGGTTTTCCTCGCTCAGGTGTGCGACTGCGAACCGGGCCACAAATAACACCCTCGCTCGCTCAGCTTAAATCGAAGGCGTTCTCTCGAACGAGAAGAGAAGCCACCAAGCGGCAAACCGAACGCCGCCA